AATTAATTACAGATCATAATTAATTAATCTCTCAATTTTTTTAATCGCATGACAGCACTAATTATTCATATCGGGAAAGCGGAATGTTTAAAAAATAGTAAAGCGCCGCTACTCCGACCATGAAGAAAAAGTGAAACCGGTGCGTCGTGGGCGAGCGTTGGTAGATTATACAATCATGTTGAGTAGGAGGAAAAGTTACATAACGCGTCTTTAATCCCAGTGATCATCTTTCTAATGGTTTTGTGTGTTGTCTTTCCAGTCCGCAGTGAGTTTTGTCAGCTCCCCGTCGCTCCGTGCCCAGACTAACATTTGTTCTGAGCTCATTTGGCGCCTCTCGACGGCCGACGCTCATCGCCCGATTTCGCCGTCCAAAAACCACGGCGCGGACTCGGGGTGCACTTACCGGGTCGTCGCGCGGGGGGCGGCGAAGAGGCTCGAAACGCGACGCCAGGAACACCGCCCAAAACAAACATGGCGGATCGGAGAAAATGGTTCAGTTTTGCCTCGTTTGGCCGACGGCCGGAAGAGCAAATCCAGCCTTTCTGTTATTACCAAAACACTCGATTTAACTGGAGATGACGCGACGAATTATAATGTTGGCGCAACGGTTAAGCTTCGCCTCGCAACAAAAAGGTTCGAGGTTCAATTCCTGGACTAAATCTGAACTTTTTGACGTATGTTGACAAGTTTCCTCCAATTTATCTGCCCCAAAAACAATGAAAAATAAAGCGTTGTAGTTTTATCTTGTGTTATAAACAGTGGTGAGTGCTTGAGTCCGTGGGTGTTTTATTGGTTTATCTGAAATGTTACACAGTATGGCTTTAAAGTGCACATATTATGCTGTTTTCTGAGCTGTTATAAAGTTGTTTCTTCATCAAAATCAGACCTGGAGTTGTGTTTTTTGTTGTTTTCACGCATGTTTAACACACAAACTCTGCGCATTTAAGCTGAGTTCTTCTCTCGAACTCGAAAAATACACTCTTCCACCTTGTGATGTCATCGTGTGGCGATACAGGAAGTGCTCCGTCGTGTTTTTAAACTCCACACACCTTCACTAGAATCATTTGGAGGATGATTTCAACCCTGGGATTACCAAACTCTACTGAACTAAAGGTAAAAAGTAGATGTTAACTTACGTAAAACTACCACTTCATGACATCACAAGGTGGACCAGAGCGTTTTGAGGTTTCGAGATGTAAACAACGTTACTCAAACACGTGTGAATGAAACAAAAACACAACTCCAGGTCTGTTTTTGAGGAGGTAACAACATTATATCACGACTTAAAGCTCACAAGAGTCAGTTTTGTGTAATAGTCAGGGTTCCCGTGGTCATGGAAATCCTGGAAAAGTCATGGAAATTGAAAACTGTCATCTTCCAGGCCAGGAAAAGTCATGAAATTTTGTTCAATGAAATTCAATGAAAGTTTAACTACAGCATTCCGTTCAATTCTCACGAGGCTGTTAAGATTATTTCTGAACTTCTGCGCCTTTTGTTTAAAAGCGACGACGATAAATAAAATGATAATATAATTTAACTTTTCTAGTTTTTCTGCATGATTTTTTTCTCATTGCTTTATCCCAAATGTTCCACAATACAGTAAAGACAAAATAGATCCGTTTAATCCACATTCTAAGCTGAGTCTGGTGCGACTTATATAGGTTTTTTTCTTCTTCATTACATTTTGTGGCTGGTGCGACACTGTTGGGCGAGTGACTTTAAGACTGTAATGTGTTTTTTATTACACATTACAATATTACTGTGTTTAAAATATAAAACATGACACGATTATTGCAGCACTTTAAGACACTGTCAACTAAATAACTGTGTGAAGATGGTGAACGTCTGCACCGTATATGGACTGAACCAGGACTAAACCAGGACTAAACCAGGACTAAACCAGGACTAAACCAGGACTAAACCAAGACTAAACCAGGACTAAACCAGGACTAAACCAGGACTAAACCAGGACTAAACCAGGACTAAACCAGGTCTAAACCAGGACTAAACCAGGACTAAACCAGGACTAAACCAAGACTAAACCAGGACTAAACCAGGACTAAACCAAGGACTAAACCAGGACTAAACCAAGACTAAACCAGGACTAAACCAGGACTAAACCAGGACTAAACCAGGACTAAACCAGGACTAAACCAAGACTAAACCAGGGACTAAACCAGGACTAAACCAGGACTAAACCAGGACTAAACCAGGACTAAACCAGGACTGACTAAAACCAGGACTAAACCAGGACTAAACCAGGACTAAACCAGGACTAAACCAGGTCTAAACCAGGACTAAACCAGGACTAAACCAGGACTAAACCAGGACTAAACCAGGACTAAAACCAGGACTAAACCAGGTCTAAACCAGGTCTAAACCAGGACTAAACCAGGACTAAACCAAGACTAAACCAGGACTAAACCAGGACTAAACCAAGACTAAACCAGACTAAACCAAGACTAAACCAAGACTAAACCAAGACTAAACCAGGACTAAACCAGGACTAAACCAGGACTAAACCATGTCTAAACCAGGACTAAACCAGGTCTAAACCAGGACTAAACCAAGACTAAACCAGGACTAAACCAGGTCTAAACCAGGTCTAAACCAGGACTAAACCAAGACTAAACCAAGACTAAACCAGGACTAAACCAGGACTAAACCAGGACTAAACCAAGACTAAACCAGGACTAAACCAGGACTAATCCAAGACTAAACCAAGGACTAAACCAGGACTAAACCAGGACTAAACCAAGACTAAACCAGGACTAAACCAAGACTAAACCAAGACTAAACCAGGACTAAACCAGGACTAAACCAGGACTGAACCAGGACTAAACCAAGACTAAACCAGGTCTAAACCAAGACTAAACCAAGACTAAACCAGGTCTAAACCAGGACTGAACCAGGACTGAACCAGGTCTAAACCAGGACTAAACCAGAGCTGAACCAGGATTAAACCAGGTCTAAACAAGGACTAAATCAGGACTAATCTTGGACTAGAACTTGGACTCTAAGTCCGCCCCTGACAGAGCCCTGACTCCGTGGACAGGATCTGCAAGGCGCGATCGGGCGTCAGCTGTGTTTCGCCCCGTGGAGCGTGGAGTTCTGCGTCGGTCCTTTCACCCGCAGTCACCCGACGGTCTACACGGGCGCATCTCCGGCGTTTCACCGCTGCTGATACTGCGTTAGTTTTAGCGAATTTGCATGAAGAAAAATGAAAAACCCACCACTTCAATCCAGATTAAAAAAGCATTGTAACGCATGACACTGACATATGTACCCAGCAAAATATCACAGTTTTTTCCCTGTAAAGCCGAACATTACTGCATTACAACAAAAAGCAACACATTACAGTAATGTGTTACTTTTATAACACATTACTCCCAACACTGCTGCTGTGACTTATACTATGAAAATTACGGTAATCATTTTCACTAGGAATCAAGTGTTTACATGGTCTTTTTAAAGTGGAATACATTTTTCTTCAGAATTTAATTATTTTTATTTGGAATTAAAGGTTGTATAGAGGATTTTCCAAGGAAGGAGAAATCCAGCGACTGTTTGTCCTTTTTCAAATGTTGCGCATGCGTGAAACCACCCCCCCTCCCCTACAGCTCCTACGTAGAAACACCTCCTCCCTCCTCCTCCTCACGCCACAAACAGGTTTGTTTACAGCTGCACATGACTTGTAAACAACTAACTACAGTGTTGGTTAGGCAAGACGGAGAAGTGAGGAGCGGGGGGAGCGGGTGCGCGGACATTTCGTTCGCGGACGAGAAGTGAGGAGCAGGGAGAGAGAGAGAGGGAGAGGCGGGTGCGCGGAGATTCTGTGCCCGGAGAAGTGAGGATCAGGGGGAAGAGTGGATCGGGCAGCGGGGAGAGGAGCAGGAAAGGGGTGCAGAGAAGGTTGCGCGGAGATTCAGTGCAAATGAACTAGCTACAACACGCAGCAGCAAGTGGACTCTTTCTTTGCCTTGAAAATGACGTTTTCAGACATAGGATATCGCTTTCGTGTCCTGAAAAACGTTTGTGTAGCGCTTGGAAATAAAGTACGTTTTCATAATAAGCAGAAGTTTCCTGTCCAGGAGTAATTTGTGGACCAGTGCGTCAGTCTTTAGACCCTGCGTCTGCTTCAGTCGCGCCATCGCTGGAATGAATCTTCAAGAATCACCTTAGTTTGGCTTCGCTGCTTTTCCCCTTGTCTTCTTCTTTCAGCGACCTCAAAAACGGACTTTCTTTTGCAGCGAACTGCTCCTGGATTCTTGTCGCCATCGCAACAAACTTTGTGCGAACTGCGAGGAAGATATAGGTCAAAAAAAGAACTGTTGTGTTGGTGGAGTAAACAGCGTCTGTGCGTCTTGCGTCTGTGGACTGCGTGACAGTCGTACGTAAACCACGTACCGGCGGCGCAGGCAAGTCAGTTACACTAGAAACGTAGGGAGTTTGATTGACAGCCTGTCAGCTCACAGATAACGAGGCAGTGTCGTTATCTATTGGCAAATGTTTAGCCTCAACACGTCCAGAGTTGATGAATTTTTATTCTCTTTTTTTTGGTCATCATAATTACAAGGCTACTGCACCTCTATAATCTATCATTGACAACTTGAAACAAAAAAAATCCTCCATACAACCTTTAAAGCTCTCATGTAGACGTGGCAGCTATCCACAAAGCTCAAAATGCTCAGTTCCACCTTGTGATGTCATGAAACTACATTTAACCTTTTAGTTCAGAAGAAAATCCGCAGGGTTTGTGCGTTAAGCTTGTGTGAACGAAACAAAACACAACTCCAGGTTTGTTTTCGACGTCGAAACCGCATCATATCAGATCAGAAAACGGCGTAATATGAGCCCTTGAAGCTCCGACAGACTCGCACTCGAAACTTAAATCACTAAAATAATTCTTAGCTCTGTTCCGCGACGCTCTCGACAAATAAACTCACATTTCGAGCGCCTCTCCAGACCCCCTCGATCTCCACGTCGCATTGTTTTCGTCAATGGCGTCTTTACCCAACCGCATCCTCCGTGAAGTGCCTCTCGTGTGCCGCTCGCGCACTTCACTCCGACGTAATCTCCGCCTCAGCCTTTCGCTCTTCTTCGGATTCGATAAACTCCGCGCTTTCCGTACGAGAAGCCGCCGTTTTAAGACGTTTTTTTGTTTTTTTCCGGCGCCCACCTTAAAGCCCCGAAAAGCCTTAAAGTACAAACTCATTAGCGCGTTGTTGATAAGTGTGGAAAGACCCATGCCGTTGCCGTGGTAACAGTGAAGGATCGGTGCTCGTTTTCTTTTTTTTTTCCTGCATCTCTCTTTTTTTTTTTAAGTTTCTGCCTGTTTTTCTTCCTCCAGGCGAGACTAATTAAGCAAATGAGAAGGAAACTAGAAAGGGTCACGCTTTTTTTTTTTTGTACGCGGGAGCTTTTGTGGTGGAAATGAGAAACGAAAGGTAATATTTCAAATGTACTCAATGAAATATATCTAAGGAAAAGTGAAGTGCTTTGTTTTTCCGAACTGTAAGAAATGAAAAACCACTCAGACTCATTGTTCTCCAAGGAAATAAGAAAACCACAAATCCGCACGCGATTCTAACGTTGTTTTTCATCCGATGTTACGCAAAACTGACTCTTATGAGCTTTAAGATGTCATTGCTTGGTCTGGAATGTTTCCCAGTGCGGCTTTAAACCTTTTTATCTCCATGGAGACCGAACCGGGCCAAGTTACAGGTCAGATCTGTGGAGAGGCGACCCCGCTCACGGTCAGAATGTTTGTTTTTGGAGGGATTTTTGAGCTACAAAACCAGCTGTAACTGAATAAATGTAAGTTAGAGATGTTTAAAGTCACACTGTGGAACATTACAGGCAGAGCAGTGATGTATCCATAGAAACCGCCAAGCAAAAAGTTACACAGTGCAGCTTTAAGTCATGTTATAAAGTTGTTACGGCATCAAAAACGGCCAGACCGTTTCCCGTTTCCGTGGATTAAACTGTGACTGACTAAACCAGGACTAAACCAGGACTAAACCAGGACTAAACCAGGACTAAACCAGGACTAAACCAGGACTAATCAGGACTAAACCAGGACTAAACCAGGACTAAACCAGGACTAAACCAGGACTAAACCAGGACTGAAAAACCAGGACTAAACCAGGACTAAACCAGGACTAAACCAGGACTAAACCAGGACTGAATCAGGACTAAACCAGGACTAAACCAGGACTAAACCAGGACTAAACCAGGACTGAATCAGGACTAAACCAGGACTAAACCAGGACTAAACCAGGACTAAACCAGGACTGAATCAGGACTAAACCAGGACTCAGGACTAAACCAGGACTAAACCAGGACTGAATCAGGACTAAACCAGGACTGAATCAGGACTAAACCAGGACTAAACCAGGACTAAACCAGGACTGAATCAGGACTAAACCAGGACTAAACCAGGACTAAACCAGGACTGAAATCAGGACTAAACCAGGACTAAACCAGGACTAAACCAGGACTGAATCAGGACTAAACCAGGACTAAAACAGGACTAAAACAGGACTAAACCAGATCTAAACCAGGAGTAAACCAGGACTGAACTGGTCTCAGTCCTGGTCTCAGTCCTGGTCTGGTCCCGGTGTCGGTCCTGGTCTCAGTCTTGTTTTGGTCCTGGTCTCAGTCATGGTCTCAGTCCCGGTCTTAGTCCTGGTCTTAGTTCCGGTCTCAGTTCTGGTCTCAGTCTCAGTCTGGTCCCAGTCTGATCCCGGTCTCAGTCCTGGTCTTACTCCTCATCTCAGTCCTGATCTCAGTCCAAGTCCGGTCCCGATCTCAGTCCTGGTCTGGTCCCGGTCTGGTCCTGGTTCAGTCCTGATTCAGTCCACATGTAAGAAAATGAAAAGTTCCGCAGTGCATCTTTAAAGCCAAAATAAAAGTACAGTTTACTTTTCGACGATGACTTTTCTTCAAACTCTTCTTCTTCTTCTTCTTCTAAACCGCAGTTCTACCTCGATCTCCTCCAGTCCGTGTAATTGACCCGTAACCCTTGGCAACCACGTCTCTCTCTCTCTCCGTCTTCCCCAGTTGCCCGCCGCGTTGCATCTTGGGTAAATAAAACATTTATAGAGACTCAATTAGCGCTGGGCTGTTGAGCCGGTGGCAGCTGCGATCGCCAGATGTTTTGAAGACGCAGCGATGAGGAGCTCGTCAAGAAACACGGAGCCGGAAAGATTTGCCCAAATATAAGAGACGTGCGGCAGGTCGGGGCACGTTTCAATCTCAAATGTGCTCACGTTATTATTTTTAAAGAGCCGTATTACGCCGATTTAAGTTATAATGTTGTTTCATCGTCGCAAACGCACCTGGAGTTGTGTTTTTTTTTTATTCATTTACACAAGTTTAACTCACAAACCTGCAGATTTAAGCCACATCAGCACTAAGACGTATTCGAGTCGTTTTCGTTCGTTCGTTCGCGCTAATCCGACGGAAAACGGCTCCGGAGACGGAACGATCTGATGCCGCCAGCTCCCGCGAAGTCGTCTGATCTGATGCAGCTCTGTGTGGACTCCTGAAAACACTGATACTCTGATGTAGGAGCTTTAGTTGTCGTCCTTATTGGACCACGAAAAAACAACCAGGAGACTCCAACCTGTAGCTCGGGAACCAACAGTAACTTTCCACCCCCTTCCCAGTAGCTCGCCAAGAGGATTTCTAATTAACTAATTAAACTAACTAATGCCCAACTCTGTGCACTAATAAATGGTCTGTTGGTTGAGTGGTTGTCTAACTGTTGCCCATCTCAGGCTTTCCTATGTTCAATTTCTTGTTTCTTGTTGATAAATAGGGGTGAAATCACTTAAATTAACAACATTTGACTTTATTTAAGTCAATTCAACTTGACAAGTAAAATGGAATAAGTGTGTTTTTCTAAATTTAAGCAAAAAGTGCAACAAACTTGTTGCTCATGTACAAAAAGTCTTCTTCCACTGGCAGATAATTTTACTTGTGAAGTGAAATTTACTCAAATCAAGATCAAACTTTCTTAATTCAAGTCGTCTTAACTTATGTATTCACTGTTTTGATGATTAAAATGTTTGTGTTTCATATTCAATTTGCACAAGAAGTGATTTAACAAAGACTTTTTAAAAAGTAAATTACAGTGTGGAGAGTGTGGGGTGGGTTATGGGACATTAATTAATTAATTTATTTATTTATTTTTATTACCTCCGCCAAGGAGGTTATGTTTTTGCCGGCGTTTGTCTGTTTTTTTGTTTGTTTGTTTGTTTGTCTGTTAGCAACATAACTCAAAAAGTTATGGACCAATTTTGATGAAATTTTCAGGATTTGTTGGAAATGTGAAAAGGAAGAACTGATTTCATTTTGGGGGTGATCCGGAAGAAATCCTGGATTCTGGATCACTTTGAAATTTTAGTTAACATTGTGGTAAATGGGGCCAAAAATTTAGTTTCTCAATATCTGGGTTAATTATTGACCAAACCCCATGAAATTTGACTCAGGGATGGACAATGGGATCCTCTTTCATATTCCAAAGGCTGATCCGGATCTGATCCAGAAGACTGATTTTATCGCAATTTATATAAAAAATGGGGGAAGTCCTTGGCGGAGGTCTGCGCTCTCTGAGTGCTTTTCTAGTTTTGTTTTTGTTAAGTATCATTAAAAATAATTATAATTATAATACCTCTTTATTTGCTCACAAAAACAATTTTCTGACCAATTTTCCTACACAAAATAAATACAAGATTTTGAATGAAAAAAAAAAAAAGAAATAAACAAAGATATGAGTAAGTAAATAAGTAAAGTACTACCCCACCAAACTAAGTCATATCATAGTACAACAAATAAATAAGTTAGATTTTTGTTTATTTTTGCTTTCGTTATGTTTAATAAAAGAAAAAATCATAATAATATCACTTTATTCTCTCACAAATAGAGTTTTCTGACCAGTTTTCTTACTAAAAATAAATAAATAATTACTAGATTCTCAAGAAAAAAACAAAAAAGACAGTAATAATAGACACATATTTTGTTGTTGTTTGTCTCAAAGATCCTCCCCTTTATTTTTGTTTTAGTTATGTGTAATTTAAGTCATAATAAAGTTTTTTTCGCTCACCAAAACAGTTTTCTCGCCAATTTTCTTACACAAAATAAACAAACAAGACTCTGAAAAGGAATAAATAAGTTCTAAGTAACATTAGACACCATCATTTTGTTTAGAATGAAACTGGTACAAATTGCGATTAAGTCAATGACGATTCATCGCAAATATCGGCTTTATTATCTCGGTGCGTCTTTGCTGTGGACATAAACGAAGCCCGAAGTCCAAGTAATTATAGCACCAAAGCCGAGAGAAGGCGCAGATGGGCGAGGAGCTTTGCATATGTAAAACAGTCTCTTTCTCTGATGCTAAAATTAAGATCTTAAACGTTTTGTGACTGGAGACGTTATGTGGGAGTTATAGATGCAAACGCGAAATAGTAAAAAGGAGAAAGGAGTCCATCTGGTTTGGTTTATCTCTTTGTCTCACACCTCGGGCTAAAAACAGCTACAGAAAATCTACAGTGTTTTTTTTTTTGTGTGTGTGTGTGTGTGTGTGTGTGTGCGCTCTGATTTCACTGGAGAAGTCCCATTCACGTTTCAGCACCACGGACAGCGACGCCACACCGTTTCCTGATGTTTTAAGGCGGTTTTCTCGTCAAAAACAGACCCGGAGTCGTGTTTTGTTTCGTTCACACGCGTTTAACTCGTAAACCCTGCAGATTTAGGCTGAGTTTTTCTCTCAAACTCAAAGTAAAAGGTGGAACAGAGCACAAAAACACAACTCCAGGTCGTGACTTAAAGGTTGTATAGAAGATTTTTTCCAAGGAAGGAGAAATGCAGCGACTGTTTGTCCATTTTCAGCTGTCGCGCTTCGCTCCTCAATCCGTGTATCATTCGTTCATTCGTTTTTCAATATAAAACCAAAAATAAGAAAATGAGAAAACAACAGTTTTCTTCGTTATTTGTCTCCAAAACCAAAATGAAAAAACAGATAACGATTCGTTTTTTCAGTTTCCGATTTGTGTTTAAATGAAGAATGGAAAAAACGGATAACGGCCGTTTCCCGTTTACGTGACTTCAGTGACTGCGATGCCGAACTTTTGCACCGCATACGGACTGAACCAGGACTGATCCAGGTCCGAGACCAGACCGAGACCAGAGCGGGACCAGAGCGGGACCAGAGCGGGACTGAGACCGGGACCAGAGCGGGACCGAGACCGGGACTGAGACCAGGACCAGAGCGGGACCGAGACCGGGACTGAGTCTCAGTAGCGCTCTGGTCCCGGTCTGGTCCCGGACCTGGTCCATCTGAACCAAAAGCTCTTAGTTCGGTTCGTTTTCGTTGGGGTGAAAGCGTCAGTCAGAGGCTTTGCACCACCTCGGAATCAACCGCGGTTCTTGAGCGCGGAGGACCAGAGCAGCTCGGTCTGGTCTCGGACCTGGATCCGTCCTGATTCAGTCCGTATGCGGTGAGACTGGGACCAGACCGGGACCAGAGTGGGCCTGAGACCGAGATCGAGACAAGACCAGGACCAGACCGGGACCAGACCGGAGGCTCAGAGCCCACGGCAGGACCGGAGCTCGAAGCTGAGGCTCGGACCCCGTGGAGGCTCGAAGTCAAAGCTCGGAGTCCGGTCTGGTCCCGCTCTGGTCCCGGTCTGGTCCCGGTCTCAGTCCCGCTCTGGTCCCGGTCTGGTCCCGGTCTCAGTCCCGCTCTGGTCCCGCTCTGGTTCCGCTCTGGTCTCGGTCTGGTCTCGGACCTGGATCAGTCCTGATTCAGTCCGTATGCGGTGCAAAAGTTCGGCATCGCAGTCACTGAAGTCACGTAAACGGGAAACGGCCGTTATCCGTTTTTTTCCATTCTTCATTTAAACACAAATCGAAAACTGAAAAAACGAATCATTATCTGTTTTTTCATTTTGGTTTTGGAGACAAATAACGAAGAAAACTGTTGTTTTTTCGTTTTCTTATTTTTGGTTTTATATTGAAAAACGAATGAACGAATGATACACGGATTCTCCTCTTCCCCTTCTCTTCCTCTTTCAGCTGCGTCAAAAACAGACTTTCTTTTGTGGCGAACTGGTCGTGAATTTTTGTCTGCCGTCACAACAAAGTCTGTGCAAAACTTTGTGTGAGAGGAAGCTACAGTTCGAAAAAGACGCTAAGAACCGCTGTGTTGGTTGAGTAAACGGCATCAGTGCGTGAGGTGAACGTAAACCACATAATCCCAGCGCGTCGGCAACTCAGTGACGCTAGAAACGTAGGGAGTTTGATTGACAACCCAACAGCCAATAGAAAAAGAGGTAGCGTTTTTTTTTCTATTGGCTGATGTTTATCTGCCCCCATCACATCCACAGTTGATGGATTTTCATTCTTTTTTTTTTTTTGGTCATCATAATTACAAGGCTGCTGCATCTCTATAATTTTATTTTGAACTTTCATAGACAATTTGAAACAAAAAAAAAAAAATCCTCCATACAACCTTTAAAGCTCACAAGAATCTAATGTGTGTAATATTGGACCTTTAAACTTTTACTATAAATCTTGCCAAGGTTTTTGAGCTTTTCAATTTTCTTATTTCTCAGGATTAAGATTTCAGGAATCCTCCGCAATTATTACAAATCAATGTGCAAGTGTAGTAGGACTGGTCTTGGTCTTGAGACAGGCCTTTTTTATGGTCTTGGTCTTGTTTTTGACTCAACCAAGTTTGGAATCTTGTCTTGTCTCGGTCTTGAAGGTGCTTGGACTCAATCTTGTCTCGGTCTCGAGGTCTGACACTTGACCAGTGATAAAATGTAGATAGATTTATAAAATTGGTTTCTTGGTTTCGGTCTCCATCCTTAAAAGTCTCGGTCTTGTCTCGGTTCCGACCCTCAGAGGTGTCGGTCTTGTCTCGATCTTGGCCTTTAAAAGTCTCGGTCTTGTCTCGGTTTCAGCCTTAAAAAGTCTTGGTCTTGTTTCGGTCTCAACCCTCAGAGGTCTTGGTCTTGTCAGTCTCAACCAGTCTCGTCTTGCTCTTGGCCTTTAAAAGTCTCAGTCTTGTCTCAGTCTCAACTCTCAGAGGTCTCGGTCTTGTCTAGGTTTCGGCCTTTAAAAGTCTTGGTCTTGTCTCGGTTCCGACCCTCAGAGGTCTCGGTCTTGTCTCGATCTTGGCCTTTAAAAGTCTTGGTCTTGTCTCAGTCTAGACTCTCAGAGGTCTCGGTCTCATCTCGGTTTTGACATTTAAAAATCTCATTCTTGTCTCGGTTTCGACTCTCAGAGGTCTCGGTCTTGTCTCGGTTTCAGCCTTAAAAAGTCTTGGTCTTGTTTTGGTCTCAACCCTCAGAGGTCTTGGTCTTGAATCAGTCTCAACCTTTAAAAGTCTCAGTCTTGTCTCGGTCTCAACTCTCAGAGGTCTCAGTCTCGTCTTGATCTTGGCCTTTAAAAGTCTTGGTCTTGTCTCAGTCTAGACTCTCAGAGGTCTCGGTCTCGTCCTGGTTTTGACCTTTAAAAGTCTCGGTCTTGTCTCGATCTTGACCTTTAAAAGTCTCGGTCTTGTCTCGGTCTCAACTCTCAGAGGTCTCGGTCTTGTCTCGATCTTGGCTTTTAAAAGTCTCGGTCTGTCTCGGTTCGACTCTCAGAGGTCTCAGTCTCGTCTGATCTTGACCTTTAAAAGTCTCGGTCTTGTCTCGGTCTCAACTCTCAGAGGTCTCGGTCTTGTCTCGATCTTGGCTTTTAAAAGTCTCGGTCTCGTCTCGGTCTCGACTCTCAGAGGTCTCGGTCTTGTCCTGGTTTTGACCTTTAAAAGTCTCGTCTCGTCTCGGTCTCGACTCTCAGAGGTCTCGGTCTCGTCCTGGTCTCGGGACCTTGTGGTCTGGGACAGGTTTTGGTCTGGACTAGAACACTACAATGCGATGCCGAAAAACAAAGCACTAGACTCTCTTGAGGACCCGAGTTTGCCGAGTTACGGGAGGTCAAATCTGGGGAGTTTTTACAGACATTTTTACACAATTCGCACGGGACTAGAAACACAAAAGTTCCAGTTTACCTTCGGACCTCAGATAAATCGAATGTGAACAGGTTTTGGGTTAAATCCTGACGGTTTTGTGGCGTGTGTGTCTCGGTTCCAGTGGAGGGCTGCACCGACTGGTCCGTGGACTACAAGCGGTACCAGGCGCTGCTGGGGGAGCCCGTCCGGATCCGCTGCGCCCTCTTCTACGGCTACATCCGCGCCAACTACAGCCTGGCGCAGAGCTCGGGCCTCAGCCTCATGTGGTACAAGAGCGCCGGGCACGGGGACTTCGAGGAGCCCATCAGCTTCGACGGGACGCGCATGAGCAAAGAGGAGGACGCCATCTGGTTCAGACCGGCGGAACTGCAGGACGAGGGCTACTACTCCTGTGTGCTGCGGTAAGAAAACAAACACACCAATCAAATACTCTTTAACTTTGTGTTTCTCTGTGTGAAACGTGGAACTGTGTATTTTGGAGCTCAGTATTTATCGTTTTGTGTATTTTTTCTGTGGAGATTTGGAGTATTTTTACTTGTAAAATGATAAAATTTGATCATTATTGGTTCATTCTGCTGTGTATTGTGTCTGCCCTCTTTCCCTCTCTCTTTCTCTCTCTCCTCCTCTCTTCCGACCGTCTCCCCTCCCTCTCTCTCTCTCTCACCCTCTACTCTTCCTTCTCTCTCCTCCCCTCTCTTCTCTCTCTCTCTCTCCCTCTCTCCTCTCCTCCCCTCTTCCTCTCTCTCTTTCTCTCTCTTCTCTCTCTCCTCTCCTCCTCTCTTCTTCTCTCTCCTCTCTCTCTCTCTCTCTCTCTCCTCTCTCTCTCTCTCTCTCTCCTCTCTCTCTCTCCTTCTCTCTCTCTCTTCCTCTCTCTTCTCTCTCTCTCTCTCTCCTCTTCTCTCTCTCTCTCTCTCTCTCTCTCCTCTCTCTCTCTCCTCTCCTCTCTCTCTCTCTCTTCCTCTCTCTCTCCTCTCTCTCTCTCTTCTCTCCTCTCCTCTCTCCTCCCTCTCTTCTCTCTCTCTCTTCTCTCTCCTCCTCTCTTCTCTCTCTCTCTCTCTCTCTCTCCTCTCCTCTCTCCTTTCTCTCTCTCCTCTCTCTTCTCTCCTCTCTCCTCTCTCCTCTCCTCCTCTCTCTCTCTCTCCTCTCTCTCCTCTCTTCTCTCTCTCTCTCTCTCTCCTCTCTTCCTCTCTTCCTCTCTTCTCTTCTCTCTCCTCTCCTCCCCTCTTCTTCTCTCTTCCTATCTCTCCCACTCTCTCTCACACCCCTCTTCCTTCTCTCTCCGTCCTCTCTCTCTCTCTATTTCTCTCTCCCCTCTATCCCTTTCTCCCTCTCCCTCTTCCCTCCCCTCTCTATCTCTCCCTTTCTCTCTCCCTCTCTTGTTGGCCCTCTGCCTCCCCCTCTCTCTATACTCCTCTCTCTGTCTCTCTATTTGCCCCCCTCTCTTTCTCCCTCTCTCTCTCTCTTCCCCTCTCTCTCTCTCTCTCTCTCTCCCTCCTCCCCTCTCCCTCTCTTGTTGCCCCTTTCTCGCTCCATCCTCCTCTTTCTTCCCGTAACTCTCTCTCATCCTCTCCCTCCCCCTCTTCCCCCTCTTTTCCTCCCCTCCCTCTCTCCCCCTCGTTCTCTCTCTCTCTCTCTCTCCTCTCCTCCTCTCTCTTCTCTCTCCTCTCTCTCTCCTCTCCTCTCTCTCTCTCTCTTCTCTCTCTCTCTCTCTCTCCTCTCTCTCTCTCTCTCCCTCTCTCTCTCTCTCCTCTCCTCTCTCTCTCTCTCTCCTCTCTCTCTCTCTCTCTCTCTCTCTCTCCTCTCTCTCCTCTCTCTCCTTCTCCTCCTCTCTCTCTCCTTCTCTCTCTCCTCTCTCTCTCTCTCTCCTCCTCTCTCCTCTCCTCCTCTCTTCTTCTCTCTCCTCTCTCTCCTCCTCTCTCTCTCTCTCTCTCTCTCTCTCTTCCTCTCCTCTCCTCCTCCTCTCTCTCTCTCTCTCTCTCTCCTCCTCTCTCTCCTCTCCTCTCTCTCTCCTCTCCTCTCCTCTTCCTCTCTCTTTCTCTCTCTCTCTCTCCTCTCTTCCTCTCTCTTCTCTCTCTTCCTCTCTCTCTCCTCTCTCTCCTCTCCTCTCCTCTCCTCCTCTCTCTCTTTCTCTCCTCTCCTCTTTCTCTCTCTCTCTCCCTCTTCCTTCTCTCTTCTCTCTCTCTCTTCTCTCTCTCTCTCTCTCTCCTCCTCTCTCTCTTCTCCTCTTCCTCTCTCTTCCTCTCTCCTCTCTCTCTCCTCCTCTCTTCTCTCTTCTCTTTCTCTCTCCTCTCTTCCCCTCTTCCTCTCTCTCTTTCTTTCCTCTCCTCCTCTCTTCTTCTCTCTCCTCTCCTCCCCTTCCTCTCTCTCTTTCTCTCCTCCCCTCCCTCTTCCTCCTCTCTCTTTCGCTCTCCTCCTCTCTTTTTCTCTCTCCTCCCTCCTCTTCCTCTCTCTCTTTCTTTCCTCTCCTCCTCTCTTCTTCTCTCTCCTCTCCTCCCCTCTCCCTCCCCCTTTCTCTCCCTTCTCTCTTTCCCTATGTCTCTCACTTTTCTTCTCCCAGTCTTCCTCTCTCTCTCTCTCTCTCTCTCTCCCTCTCTCCTCTCTTTCTTTCTCTCTGAACACAATCGTCTCTTCTGTAGCTCTCGTCTTCGTTCTCTCACGTTTCTCCACTCTGGGTCTAAACAATGGTCGCCGTGACGACTTATTGTGTGGAGATGCAGGAAGTGGCGTCCAGAGATTCGATTTTGGACGGCGAGCTTTGCGTTGTCAGCCAGACGCTCTCTCTCTCTTTCTCTCTCTTCTCTTTCTCTCTCTCTGTCTCTGTTTACACGGGCGAATGAAGGAGCGACACTCGTCTGAACAGGAACCACAACAGGCCTCAGCACAGACGACTTTGTCAACACTTTCACACTTTTGCTCTGGGTTTTGTCGGTTCTGGATGTTTGTGTCGAGTTGAAGCACACGAGCGACGCAAAATAACACGAAAATACAAAGAAAATCTATGATAAATGTTCACTTTTTAAGCTTTCTGCCAGGTTATAATGTTGTTACCTCCTCAAAAACAGACCTGGACTTGTGTTTTGTTTCATTCACATGTTTGAGTGACTCTTTATTATTCGTCTGTTTGTGATGTGGGCCAGAGAAATGCTTTAATAATTTATCGATTTTTAACGTTTCACAAACAGATTTTAAGTCAGATGATAGTTCTTGTGCTCATTAGTAAAGCACAAAGATGATTAAACTGAGCAAACTTGCAGAATTGTATTTTTTCTTTGTTTTTCGGAAAGGCAAAGGAGAAATTCAATTTGTCAACTGGACAAAAGTTTATTGTGGTACGGAGAACCACAATCCGTGTATCATTCGTTCATTCGTTTTTCAATATAAAACCAAATATAAGAAAACGAAAAAACAACAGTTTTCTTCGTTATTTGTCTCCAAAACCAAAATGAAAAAACAGATAATGATTCGTTTTTTCAGTTTTCGATTTTGTGTTTAAATGAAGAATGGAAAAAACGGATAACGGCCGTTTCCCGTTTACGTGACTTCTGTGACTGCGATGCTTTGCACGCGCATACGGACGAACCAGGACTGATCCAGGTCCTCTGGATGGTGCAGGGTTTGTGTGTTAAACATGTGAACGAAGCAAAGAAAAACACAACTCCAGGTCTGTTAAACCAATAATAAAATAATAATAAAACCAAAGGGTGGACATATCGAGGTCTAAATTTAAATTGAGACTAAAATATATGATCCAAACATGAAGTAAAAATGTAAATCTATCATAAAATTTTAAATCTAGAAAACACTAGGCAAGTTTCCAGTAAAAAGTTTAAAGGTCCTATATTACACAAAATGGATTCTTGTGAGCGTCAAAAACAGACCTGGAGTTGTGTTTTGTGCTCTGTTCCACCTTTTACCTTAAAGGTTGTATAGAGGATTGTTTTTAAGGGAAGAGAAATACAGCGACAGTCCTTGTGCGCATTCAGAATCACTGTTGAAGTTTCCTGTCTAGAAGTAATTCAGCAACCGACGCGTCAGTTTTTAGACTCTTCGTCTGCTTCGGTCGCGCCATCGCTGGACGAGATCTCCAAGAATCACCTCAGTTTGTCTTCACTCCTTTTCCCCTTCATCTCTTCTCTTTCAGCGACCTCAAAAAACGGACTTTCTTTTGCGGCGAACTGGTCGTGGATTCTCGTCCGCCGTCGCGCGACAAACTTTGTGCGAAATGCGATGAAGCGACAGTTTAAAAAAGCCTCTAAGAACCGCTGCATAAACCACATAATCCCCGCGCACCGACGAGTCAGTTACACTAGGGAGTTTGATTGACAACGTAACAGCCAATAGAAAATGAGGGAGCCTCGTTTTCTATTGGCTGATGTTTATCTGGCCTCAACACGTCCACAGTTGATAGATTTTTCGTTCTTTTTTTTTTTTGGTCATTCATAATTACAAAGCTGCTGCGTCTCTGTAATGGTATTTTAATCTTTCACTGACAGTTTGAAACAAAAAAAAAAATCCTCCATACAACCTTTTAAGTTTGGAGAGAAAAACTCAGCCTAAATGTGCAGAGTTTGTGAGTTAAACGTGTGAATGAAACAAAAAAAAACACAACTCCAGGTTTGTTTGTGACGAGGAAACAACATAAGAACAGATCAGAAAATAGAAATATATACGACCTTTAATATTTCATTTTCAGAACAATAAAAGAAACACGATGATCTAAATATGTTCTGTGTTTGCAGTTAGTAGAAATGTGATGCGTCGTCTTTAATGCTGTACTGTGGAACATTGTGGGGTTGTGTGTATGTGTGTGCGTTGATATTTTCTGTGCATATTGTCGTTGTTGTAAACAAGTGTGACGTTATTGATCCTGACACTCGGAGCCTGTTGTAACGGTTCAACACGTTCTTACACACACTCCTCCCCTCCCCTCTTCTTTTTTTTTTCTCTTCTCTCTTCTCTTCTCTTTCTCTATCCTTCTCATTCTCCTTCTTCTCTCTCTTTCTTCGTCTTCTCTCTCTTTCTTTTCTCTCTTCCTCTCTCTGTCTCTAGTCACTCTTCTTTCTTTCTTCTCTCTCTCTCCTCTTCCTCTTTCTTCTCCTCTCTTCTCTGTCTCCCTCCCGAGCCACACTTTCTGTGCTTCCTCTCTGTCTCTCTCTCTGCCTCTATCGCTCTCTCTCTCTCTCTCTCTCCTCTCTCTCCTCTCTGTCTCTCCTCTCTCTGTCTCTCTCTCTCTCTCTCTCTCTCTCTCTCTCTCTCTCTCTCTGCCCTCTCTCTCTCTCTCTCTCTCTCTCTCTCCTCTCTCTCTCTCTCTCTCTCTCTCTCTCTCTCTCTCTCTCTCTCTGTCTCTCTCTCTCTCTCTCTCTCTCTCTCTCTCTCTCTCTGTCTCTCTCCTCTCTCTCTC